ATTGAACTTTCCCAATTTGCTCTCTAAACTAGCAACCTTAGCTTTTAGTGATGTACAACTAGAGCATGTAGAAGAAGAAGTAGTTGAAGGTTCTTGTGGCCTTTTTCCAAAAGAGATAATTTCTTGTTTAAGTTTATCATTTATATTTTTGAGTTCTTTGATTTCATTCTCAAAAATCAGGATTTTTTGCTTTATTTCATTGTTTTCTTTGGAAGCCTTTTTGAACATTCTTACCAAATCTTCTACAATGCAAATAACATCATTAAGAGTTAAAGGATCATTGGGAGAAGGTTCTTGATCACTTACCTCTTTTGATGTATCACCATGTTAAGTCACAAAATGTCATATTTTATTCCCTCATTTCTTAGTACTTTTAAGATGTTTTATATGCATTTTATACTTAAATAAATATATTTTGTTACATTTAGCATTTTAGGTTATTGTTTTCATTTTATACATAAAATGCATGATTTTGAGCATATTTATATTTATTAATTAATTTAGAGTGTTATATTCCTTAATTAATATTTTTTAGATATGTTTTGGTATGGAACAAAAGCAATGGAAGAAGAATGAAGATTGGGTCAAGTTCACACATGACCCAAATTAAACCCATTATCTAATGAAATAAAAGGAAGAAACAAAAGGAAAAGAGATGAGTAAGAAGATTGGAACGGGAGAAAAAAGAGAAGTGGCGCAAGAAACGGAAGGGAAGAAACTGATCTGAGGAATCCTTCTCTATTTGCAATGCCGAGTCTTCACCTTCAATTCAATCTCTTCTAATTTAATTATAAAAGAAAACTAAGGCCACAAAACAAGGGGGGCTGATATACGGAAAAAAAGAGATCAGAGCAGAGGATACGAAGAGCCGGCCTAGGGTTTCGACCCTAGGTCGGGCGAAAACAACTAGGACCGGCGAAGACTAGTGGCACTTCGGCCATGGAATCCGGCGTCCTTCTGGCAGCGAACGGATGAAGGAGCAATACTCAGGGGAGCTTCTTTGACTTTTAATTTTACTTCAAACTTTTAATTGGGATCTTCCAATTTGTCAATTTCCAAATTATGAATTTGAATTTCCATTATTTAAATATGTTTATTTTCAATTCATGTTTGTTGAATGTTTAAGTTATATTATAAGTGATGAATTGTTTGTGTGTTGATGTTGAATTGTTCAAATTGTGATTTGTTGATTTATTATTGTCTCTGGAATTATAAAACCTTCTTAGGCCGGATTGTTTGACAAAAAGATTGAATCTTTGTTTGCTGAATTAATTTGACTTTGAAGAGATTTTAGCTCTACGCTACTGTTAAATCTAAACTCGAAAAGGTGTTCTGAGAACTATTATTCACCAGATTTTACTTGAATTGGACCAAATTAGGAACGCGCGCCTAATCCAATTTAAATTGATATTCTTTTAAAGTCCAAAGTGCTTTAAATAGCCGAACTTTTCTAGAAACCAAGTGTCACTTGATTAGTACTTGCTGCCTCGCTAAGTGGTTTTTATTAATCAAGGTTCTCGAACTGATTTTGTTAAATAACCGTAGTGTTACTGCATAGTTGTTATGGTGATGTTTTCCACAAATCTTAATGCGTTATTCTTAGTAGTAACTTAAGGGTTGGTATTTGGGTTGCTAAGGGTAGTAGGGTTTAGAGTTAGGGTTGGTCTTAACATGAGCTAATATGAATGTGAAAATAGGGAAGAACCGTTGGTGGACCTCTTCTTCAGCCTAAAAAGTATCTTTCCTCGTGGGATCGACCCTTACTTGCCCTATCTATATGTTTTAATGAATATTAATTCATAAAGGGGGTTAAGAGTTAAGGAAAATAATAAATTAATTTGTAGGTGCTACGACACGCCTATCACACCATCTTCAATGGCCATGAGACATAAGTTGGCCACTTCCTCCGTTTCCGAGTCTTCACTCCCGGAGCCGTCGTTCTCCCAAGAAATGTATGCACGTTGCTTCTTCGGTGCCCTCTTGTCCTTCTCGTTGTTGAGCTTTGGGCACATTGGTTTGATGTGTCCAATTTCACCACACCCATAGCATTTGGGTGGAGTGTTCTTCTTGGCTCCCTTCTTGAGCATCATCTTCTTGAATTTTAGGACAAAGAGTCCGAGGTCGGTGTCGTCGCTTTCATCATCTTCATCATCAACGTTGTTGTGGGTTGATGTTGTTGCGGGTAGAGCAATAGACCTCTTGTTCCTCTCTTCAACCACCTTTGAGAGTTGGGTGGTTTCGTAGGTAATAAGATTACCTCGAAGAGCATCATAGGTCGTTGTTTGGAAGTCACGACCTTCTTCGATTGCGTCCACCTTTGAACGCCATTTGGGGGATAGGCTTCGCAGCACCTTTCTCACGAGCTCTCGGTCGGTGTATGTCTTCCCGAGAAGATTGAGAGGATTGATGATGTTAGAGAATCTCTCAAACATTTCCTCAATCTTCTCATTTTCCTTCATTGAAAAGAGTTCATACTCGTGAGTGAGATGGTCGATTTTGGCCTCCCGAACCTGCGCGGTTCCTTCGTAGGTGACCTCCAATTTTTCCCACATTTGTTTTGCGGTTTCACATCGCGAGATTTTGCGGTAATCATCCGCGTTAACACCGCAATAAATCATGTTTATTGCCTTTGCGTTAAGCTCCATCTTTTTGCAGTCTTCGTCGGTGAACTCCTCTTCGGTTTTGGGAACGTTGACTTCACCGACTTTCTTCATCGGGACTCCGCAGCCGTTCTCCACAATCAACCACAGCTTGTAGTCGTTGGATTGGATAAAGATTCTCATCCTCTCCTTCCAATACGAGTAGTTGGTTCCATCGAACAACGGTGGCCTCGTGGTTGATTGTCCCTCATTCACTCCCGCGTTGAACATTCTTGATGCCATTTGATCTTTTAGTTCCTGAAAAATAACGTATTCGAAGAACTTCCTGCTCCGATACAATTGTTAGACAAATGTGCAACTCTAGAGGGGGGTGAATAGAGTTGTTTTCAAGAATGTGCGTTTTTCGCGTGTGTGAAATAATAAAATCGAAGGAATAAATAAAGAGAGTAAGGGAAAGAAGAACACCGAGATTTTGAATTTTGAATTATTCAATGAATTTTGAATAGGGGAGAAAAAGTGAGTCCAAAAATTATTTTGTGTGTCAAACGATGTATACGAAAAATATTTAAAGTATATTTTTCTTACCAAAAAAAATCGTGTAATCTTTAAAAATATTTTTAAGAAATTTTGACACACTTATTTTGAAACTGACTCAGTAAAATATTTTTGGACAGAAAAAAAATAATTTTTCAACTAACTCAAGAAATAATAATTTTTATCCCTCAGAAATTAATTTTGTTTATGCAAAAGTTATTGTCATCCTTACAGGAAACCTAGACTCAATAAAAAATAAAAAAGTCTTCGGAGTCTTCACTTCACTTCAAAAAAATCTGCGTAGGGGTGATCGTCGATTTTTATCGCCGTAAACTTCTTGATACCCTTCTTTGCTTTTCTCGGTACGAAAAATAAATTTTTGAATATCGATTGAATTTAATCATCCTGTTTGTCATTTATCAAAAAAAATATTCCAAACAATAATAAAGGGGTTTTAACTCTCCAACAGAAACTGGCTGGACAGAACCAGTCAAATATTAAGAAGACCTGACTACATCAACCATCAAGAAGTTTGAAGACTATAGCAGAATAGAGGTCCTTGCCGCTGAACATAATGACAAAGCCCTAAATGCTATCTTTGGAGCAGTTGATGCAACACAATACCGCCTCGTATCAAACTGCATTAGTGCTAAGGAAGCGTGGGATATTCTTGAAGTTACACATGAAGGTGAAGAAAAGGTCAAAACTGCAAAATATCATATTCTCATGACACAATATGAAAATCTACGAATGGATGAGAAAGAATCTATTGTAGAATTTCATATATGGAAGAGTTCGTGATCTTGCTAATCAAGCAGCCAGACTACAAGAGCCGTTTCCAGAATCAAAACTTGTATTAAAAGTGCTAAGGTCACTGCCAGAAAGGTTTGATATGGATGTCAAGGCAATCTCCCAATCACATAATGCGAAGAAGATGACACTTGATGCTCTAATGGGTAATCTTGAAACAATCGAACTAAACATGAAAGAGGATAGCAAGAGAAGAAAACCTGAGAAACAAATCGCCTTTCTGGGAACAGACCTGGAGGGTGATGGAGAAGAATTCCAAGAACAGCTATCCTTATTCACAAAGCAGTTCAAGAAGAAGTGGATTCAAAAGAAGGGAAAGAACCCAAGTCAAGAGGGACCTTCTAAGTCATCCACGTTCAGGGAGTCACGTTTCAAAGAAGGAAAATCCTATGATAACAGTATCAAGTACAAAGGCCCACTGTGCTTTGAATGTGGTGGACACGGGCATATCAGGACTGAGTGTGCGAACAACCATAAAAAGAAAAGACAAGCATTTTCAATTACCTGGAGTGATGAGGATTCTGACGAAGATCAAGGCTGTGGAGAAAGCAACTGTGCTTTTGTCTCACAATCTGAGCCAGATGATCTAATGGAGAAGCACATAGATCTTCAGGAAAAATGGACTGAACTGCTTATGGTTAACAGAAGGAATATAGCAGAAAAGAATCAGCTGACACTTGATCTAAAAGTTCTGAAGCTGAGTCTAGAAAAAGCAGAAACAGACAATGCAGATCTAAAATTTGAACTGCAAAAGCTCAAAGACTACATCAAGTGGATGAAGATAGCTGGGGCAGAAGTACTGGATGCACAGGATTTAATGTTCAAAGCACCAGGAGACAGACAAGGAATTGGATGCGACATCAACATGAAAACAGATGATCCACCCAGAAAAGACAGGATGAACATAGACAAGAACACCAGAGGAAACCATCACCCAACAGTAAAACCAATCAGGAGTTACAGTGTCAAACGTCACAAAAGGAACTCATGGACATACCAATACTACAGGTGCTACTATTGCAGAGGATGGGGACACATCAAAAGGACATGCCATAAGATCAAAAACAAAAGGGCAAGAATGCAGAAGATCAAACAAATTTGGGTTCCAAAGGAAAGAGTCATGGTAGCAAACTCATGCCTTGGAGTTACTCCCGATCAGTGGCTACTGGACAGTGGATGTTCACATCATATGACTGGTGACAGACAAAATCTTACAAATATCAACTCAGTTGAAAGAGGAAATGTCAGATTTGGTGGTGGAGCACAAGGCAAAATTGTAGGGTGTGGAATACTAAACGTGTTAGGTTTTCCACCAGTCAAGAATGTGTGGCTTGTGCAAGGACTTCAGGTGAACCTACTCATCATCAGTCAAATTTGTGATCAAGGGCTGGAGGTCACATTCACTCAGCAAAAGTGCCGGGTGAAAGACAAGAACAAACTGGTGGTACTAGAAGGGGATAGAACAACAGAAAACTGCTACAAAGTAACTCTAAATGTTCTATACTTTCCTGCAAGCCAACAGGATGCAAGACTATGGCATTACAGACTTGGTCACCTAAATTTTAAAGACCTTACAACACTATCAAACTCTGATGCAGTTCGAGGGTTGCCCAAAATAAAGAGACTGGAAGGAGAAGTATGTGGTCCCTGCCAAAAGGGGAAACAAACACAAGCAAGCCATCCTAAAAAGGTATATAAATCAACAACCAGACCACTAGAATTGGTTCATATTGATCTCTTCGGACCAATGAAAACTGAAAGTATTGGAGGAAAGAGATTTGTACTCATAGTGGTGGATGACTACACAAGATATTCCTGGGTAAGCTTTCTGAGACACAAAGATGATGCATTAGAAGCCTTTGTCATACTGTGCAACAAGGTGCAAAGTGAGAAACAGCTAAAAATCAAAAAGGTCATTCGTGTACGAAGTGATCATGGGGGTGAGTTTGAAAGTCTGCCCTTCAGTGAGTTCTGTAATAAGGAAGGAATCCAGCATGAATTCGCTGCTCCAAAAACTCCACAATAGAATGGAATCGCTGAGAGAAAGAATAGGCATGTACAAGAGATGGCTCGCATAATGATAAACACTCAAAACCTGGCTCAGAATCTATGGGCTGAAGCTGTACATACAGCATGCTATACAATAAATAGAGTATACATCAGAAGCGGCACTAAGGCTGCACCAGAAAGGAAAATGTTATGTCCTACGAGAAAGACAATAGAAAGGATGTAACGCCATAGAAACCGGGCTAGAAGTTAGTCAATAATTAAATAAATAAGAATTAGTTATTTACGACAAATGATTCTTTTAAAGAATTAAAAGATATTTTAGAGATTTTAATTGTCTCAATATAACGAAACTAATCTGATTATAGCGATAAGGGTTTTAATTAAAAGACTGATCGGTACCAATTAATCAAAGGAATTAAGACGGACCGAGTGGAACATACAAATGTTTGTCGTTTGATTATAAAAGTTATATCGTTGGGTTAGGATTGATGAATCGAATCAATGATATGAACGGATATTAATTCGGAGCAAGTTGGCCCGAAAAGTGTGTCTTTACTCAGACAAGTTATTTTAAATGACTTGGTACAAAACCCTAGGCTTATTTCGCGCATCTCTTAATTTGATCGCCGCTTCCCAGCCCTTCTCCTTCTTCGATCGAAGCACGCCACCGCCACAACCCCATCTTCTCCTTCTTCTCCGGCGAGCAACAGCACGATGGTGGGGCGACGAACCCGAACCCCCGGCGACCACATCCCGCGACCTAGCGGCTCAAGGACTCGGCGATGAGTAGACCCGACCCAGTTCCTTGGTGGCTCCCTCTCGATTTCCGGCGTTCCCAGCGAGACCCAGCAACTCGCCGACCTCCTCTCGACGGCGAGGAGCAATCCAGCAGCGGGGGAACGAGCGGTGACTTCCGGTGGTTGTGCAGCGGCGGCAGGTGGCGTGGGTGACGGCTCCGGCGATCCCCATTGTTCGGTCAGCTTCCGGTGATGGTGGGTAAGCGGCGGGCTAGCCCTCTGCTCCGGCGAACGATCTCTAGCGACTGATCGGTTGGGTTCGAGCAGGCTTGGGCAGCGACGGGTATGCTCGGATGGTGTTAACTGTTTCGAGGAGGTTGACGACGAAACCCGAACAACCTTCGAATCGAATCGACAAATCGAGGTGAGTACGTGGACGTATAACACTAGAATATGCATATATGTTTGAAATTCCGTTCATAATTATTATCATGGTTGATCTATGTGATTTGTCTATGTAATTGTTGGTTATGGTTTTGGGAATTGTTGTCGTTGAATCGAAAAGGGTAGTATGCATGACTTAGGCTTTGATTGACGAGTTTGATCATGTTGGAACGTTATGATGAACTTGTTCGAGTTGTTGAGTATGAAATTGTTGTTTGTTTAACGTTGGAAAAACGAACAGGTATGAATATGTTATTGGTGGCATCAGACGGTAGGCGGTACCGCCAGGACGGTACCTAGCTACCGTCACACCCTGTCTGCCCGTTCTTCCCTGACGGTAGCTGTGACCGTTCGGTATCGTGGTACCGGAAGAACGGTAGGCCCTACCGCCCGGTCGGTAGTGGCAGCGTGACAAGTCTACCGGTTAGGTCCAGCGAGTTTGGACGGTACCCCAGTACCGTAGGACCGGTACCCAGGTACCGTGAGGACGGTACCCCGTACCGTGAAGGGTACCGTCTGGTACCTGATGCCGAGTTCGTCGATATGTGTTTTTGTCAAGGATTGATTCTGAGACTTTATGTGTTGTATGACGGTAAGTTTGGGTATTAATACCCAATTCTAGGCCGCTATGTGTGATGATTGCGATTGCTCTGTGTTGATCCAACACTTATGTGAACTAATATTATTATGGTGATCCAACACATGTGTGGTTATGTGAAATACATATGTTTGGATACGATATTGCAAGTATGAGTGGGCTGATCCAGCACACAACAAAGAGGTACCGCGTGTTGATCCAACGCGTTTGGTAAGGTAAGTCTACCCAGAGGGAAACTTTGGGACTGACGTAAACATAGGAAATTAAGACTATAAACCAGGTGGATGCCTGTTGGGCTCCAATGGTTAAGTCAAACCGGGTAAAAACGTACGTATGGGTATCCTTGAACTGCCTGGTGAACCATCAGGTGGGGATTCCACCCACCCAACGTAGAACTCCTTCGTTGGTTGAGCATGACCCGCTGATCCAGTGGGAATCCTCATGTCTCCCATACAGTAAAATATTGTCCTTAGACTAGTATAATTAATAGGGACAAGTTCTTGGTGATCCACCAACTGTGAGAACTCCCTCGTTGATTGAGCATGATCCGCTGATCCAGTGGGAACAATCATGACTCTCAGGAAAGTACTAAGTCCTCAGTCTAGTGTAGAGTTTAAGTACAGATGAATGGTAGTCCACCACTGCAAGAGACGCTTCATTTGATAAGACTGGTAAAAGGGCAGGTGCTAGGTAAATTATATGATGAATTGTTTATGTGAACTGCATGATATGAAACCTATTTGCATGATATCATGTTATGATTATGAATTAGTGGGTTCGCATATGTGTATGTTCGAACTGTTAGATATTTCTCACTCAGCTTCGTTGCTCAGCGTGTAGCCTCTTTTTCCCTTGTTACACGTAGGTAATCATGGAGGGGTTGACTGGGAAATACATCCTGGAGGGCAGCGTGACGGAGGAGATGTACGGATGCAGGGATTTAATAATGTCTGATTTAATTATAAAGCTTCCGCACTGTTTGTATAAACTCCGATATGTATTTAAATGGTTTGAATAGTTTTAGTTGTTAAATTAAATGTTTTTATTTATTGAGAAATATTGTATGTTGAGACCAATTTAGTAGCAACCCGGTTCGCTAATCTATTTATTCGGGTTATGCGGGTTGGGGTGTTACAAAGGAAAATTTGAGGCCAAAAGTGAAGAAGCAATTTTTGTATGCTACTCACCAAACAGCAAGGCATACAGAGTATTGCTCAAAAAGACCAAGAATATTATTGAATCAATAAATGTGGTGGTAGATGATCAAATACCAGGAAGATGCAAAGATGACTCTGAAACTGTTGAGACACTAACTGAGACAGCTTCAGAGCACGAGGAGCCAGAGTGTGAAGAACACACAAACAATGAGGAGTACCAAACTACAGGATCAGAGGAGTCAGTAGAAACACCAGAGGAGTGCACAGGAATACCCACACATGTTCACAAAAATCAGCCGCCAGAAAATATCATAGGGAACCCAAGAGAAGGCATCCAGACTTGGAAAAAGAAGATAGATTTTGTTCAGATGATTAATGCCTTTTATACCTCCTCAGTTGAGCCAAAGAACATAAAAGAGGCACTCAAATAAGAACCATAGATAGATGCTATGCAAGAAAAGCTGGGACAGTTCGAACGCAACAGGGTATGGGAACTGATTCCAAAACCAGAAGGTGCAAATGTTATTGGGACAAAATGAATCTTTCGAAACAAAACAGATGAAGATGGGAAGGTTGTCAGAAATAAAGCCAGGCTGGTAGCTCAGGGTTACACACAAGTGGAGGGAGTTGATTTTGACGAAACATCTGCTCTGGTTGCTCATTGCTCAACTATATGTTGATGATATCATTTTTGGATCTACCTCAAAGCAGCATGTGGACAAGTTTGTCAAAACAATGGAAATGGAGTTTGAGATGAGCATGATTGGAGAATTAACCTTCTTCTTGGGGTTGCAAGTCAAGCAAACAGAGAAAGGCATCTTTATCTCACAAGCAAAGTACATACAGAACATGCTGAAGAAATTTGATATGAGTGACTGTAAAAGTGCTAGAACACCTTGTCCCACACATGAAAAGATCAGCAGAGATGATTGTGGAAAATCAGTAAACAAGACTCAATACAGAAGCATTATTGGAAGCTTGCTGTATCTTACTGCCAGCAGGCCAGACATTTGTTATAGTGTGGGAGTGTGTGTTAGATACCAAGCAAACCCAAAGGAGTCACACCTCAAGGCTGTCAAAAGAATACTGAAATATGTCAGAGGCACACAAAACTTGGGGTTATGGTACGAGAAGGGTGGTCCAGCACAATTAGCAGCATTCAATGATGCAGACTGGGCAGGAAATATAGATGATCGGAAGAGAACATCTGGGGGTTGTTTCTTCTTAGGAGGAAATTTGGTTGCATGGCTAAGTAAGAAACAAAACTCAGTGTCCTTATCTACAGCAGAAGCAGAATATATTGCAGCCGGGAGTTCTTGTGCACAGTTGTTATGGATGAAGTCAGTATTATCAGACTATGGAATACAACAGAAAACAATACCACTATATTGTGACAACACAGGTGCAATCAGTATGTCAAAAAATCCTGTGCTACATTCTCGAACAAAGCACATTGACATTAAACATCATTTTATACGAGAATTAGTTGAAGAAAAAATTGTTAGTCTGGAGCATGTCGATACAGAGGAGCAACTGGCTGATATTTTCACAAAGGCGTTGGATGGAAGCAGATTTGAAACACTCAGATCCAAATTGGGTCTGTGTGCACCTTATTAATGTCACTTAAATCACTTTGAACACAAATTGTCAGCTAATGTGTTCAAATTATCACTCATCCGCTGAAATATTGACATGTGTCACCGAATGGAAGCGTGCAAAATGCATGGGCACAGTGCATTGTGAAAGACGCATGCCTGACTTGGAAATCAAAGGGTCTCAGTTTCAAAGATCAGAAATCCTAATCTAGCGTGTGACCAGAGAGAGAAAATCCCCAATCAAGCGCTTGAATCTGAAACGCACCAAGAAGAATCAAGAAATCACAGTGCGCTAAAACCATGGTGCGTATCAAAATGGCTCTACCCCAAAGATGGACAGGAAAATCAAAGGCGAAGAAGAAGACGTTCCTCAGGCCCTCTTGGACCAAGCTTTTCTCAAAGGGTGAATCGTCATCATCCTCTCCAACATCATCTAAGACAGCAGGAAAATCAGCAGCTTTGTCCCTCCTCTCTGATGACGATCGTCTGCATCTTCCAATCCTAGAGTCAACCGAAGTGTTACTCCTGGAGTATACTCCACTGAATACCCAAAGAGAAGACTCATCACAAAACCCTAATACTGGAGAAAGGCACTGTGCAGAAGAAATCATGGAGGAAATCCTTGAAGAAGACCCAATAGTTGCATGCTCTGAAGTCCCTTTTCAAGATTCCTTGCCCGGATCTGATGAAGACAACACTGAAAGGAAGAACGTCTCTGGACCCATCCGATGGTCTCTCAGAAAGGCCAAGGCGACTGAGGTGACAGAGGGTCCAACAAATGAGCAGCTGGAAGCCAAAGAGTCTGAGACTAAGAAGAAGAAGATGAAGAAGAGAAAAGCGAGAGAAGAACACTCCTCACCAGTATCTCCACTCAAGAAAGCAAAATCCTCTGCTGGTTGTCCATCTTCATCAGCACACGGAAGGGAGACCAGAAGCTCAAAAGCCACCAAACTAGGCAACAGTACAGGGAAGCCCTCAGTTAAACTCTTCACTTCTCTTACTACTAAAGCTTTTTTTTACTGATATTGCAAAGAAATTGATTATACTGCAAAGGAATCTTGATGTTCTTGATTTTAGCAAGAAAACAAATCTTCTGCCCATACTTCATTCAAACAAACTGTTCAAATCTGTTACTCTACCTGGTTCATTTGTGAAACAAGTAATTCAGGAGTTTTACAGCAACTTATCTGAGTCATGTGTTGATGTTGATGATCCATCTTACCATAAAGTTTTTGTTCGAGGAAGGCTCTATGATTTCTCACCCTGTGTAATCAACAATTTTCTTGGCACTACCTCAAATCCTGCAATTACCCCCATTGCTGAAGAAACTGTGTGGAATGACCTTACCAATGGCCTTAGGGATTACCTGCATGGGAAAACCAAAGTACCATCCTCTGTGCTCAAAAGCTCCTATGCCCTACTGCTCAGAATTGCTGCCTTCCACTGGCTGCCCACCACACACACTAACACAGTTCCCCTCTGCATGGCCACTCTACTGTATAAAATCAAAAATCATGCTCCACTTGATTTGGGAAGAACTGTGTTTGACCAGGTGATGACTTTTGCAGCTACCAAATTCAAGAAAAACAAGAATGGCCTTCCATACCCCGTGCTAGTCTACAGCATTCTGAGGGATCAAGGTTTTGAGAAGTAGGAAAATGAAGAAGAACCCATACCCTCCTTGTTGCAGGTAGATAGTAGACACTTGGAAGAAAGCCACTTCAATGACATGGTAGATACTGAAGCATCTGGAGGCACAGCCCAGGATCCCTTCTCTGTTGAGATACAGCTCAGTTTTCTGGACAAGGAGATTAAAGCACTTCAGATGGATGTGGATTATCACCAAGAAATTGCTCAAAGGTCCACAGAAAGGAGGAACATGCTCATTCACATTGCTCACACCTTGAGACAAACAAGGGGTGCACAGAGACAGGGGGAGAGCCTGACCAAGCACAGAGCAGCTGCTGCACGTCTAGATTCCGAGAAAGAAAGCCTAGGAGACAGTGAAGAGGAGTCTTTCTGATCAGAATCAGAGGGGGCCACTCAGGAATCAGAAAAGGATGACAACTTGGAGGAGTAAACATTGCAGATTCAGATCTTCTAAAAAACATTTTTTTGGTGGAAAGGGTTGTTCTGCCCTGTTTCTTATGCTAAAACATTGCATGTTTGGTTTTGTTTGGGATGATTTGCTACCTTGCCTGATGGAGAACTGGTTTAATTCCTCTCCATACTAAGTTCTATTTTGTGACACATTCTGGTTCTCATATTACATGCATATGTTGTGAAGACATGATACTACACGAGCCTACCCTCCTTCATGGGTACTTGGCTCTTTCTATGATGACTGATGTAGGTACAGCTCTTTAGAATCCTCTCTTTTGCTTTCTTATTGTACCTATTCTTGACCGTATTGAATATTACTCTTCTTTTTTTTGCCCCCAACAATAATCTATACTTCTCAATAAAAGATCTTTGGCATTGTTTATGCAAAAAAGGGGGAGAAGAGGTTCAAAAACGGCTGAATAGTGGTTTTTGTGAAAAAATTGCCAAAGTGGGAGATTGTTAGCTCCAACTAGTGTCCGTTGATATAGTTTATGTTGGCATTTTTTTTGACAAAACCCTTCTGTAGAAATGGTAGTATGTCTGTATTAAGATAAGAGTTGTAGCATCCTATCAGTCACGGTATAGAGTTTCTATACGGTATGGACTCTGAATATATGGAGACTTATATGTCAAGAGGAGTTCGTGAGGTGTCCAGGCTCAAGAAGATCTACATCAATTGATTATCTCCTGATCACGTGCTTAATATTAGATCGATCTACGGGAAGGAGTCATGGCGTGCTAGGATTGTCTGGTACTCAAGCTTATCATCGTAAGAGTTCTAGACTAACTCCACTCTGGTAATGGACATCATATAAAAAGAGACGCCCATGGATGAAAGTGTAACACCCTAATCCGTCCAGGGTTGCAGCCCCTTTCAGACTAAAGTATTAACTTGGTAATCGTAAAAATTTAAAACATTTCAAACACTTTTATTTATCATAATAATATTTTTCATAATATAAATAGTACGAAGTTTTCAATATTGCGGAAGCTTTACCAAATCATAATTACAACATAATTTATTCTATTCTTTAATTCAAAACCATCACATCCATTCCGACAATCTCGCCTCCGTCTTCCTCCAGGACCACGTTACTTCATTCTTTCTAATAACCTGCGTGTAGCAAATAAAACATACTACATGCTCAGCGTTGAAGCTGAGTAAGCATATCTAATGCGTCGAACATCCATATAAACAGAATCTAAATTCATAATCAAATCATTTGATATCATGCACATAATGTTCAGTTCAGATATTAAATAATCATTAGTCAAAATTCATTATTCAACATTCATATCCATATTCGACGTTCATCGGTTATTCATAATATTCACAATATTCAATTCAATAATCATCATTCAATATTCATTCATATTCAATGGTCATCGGTCATTCATAATATTCACAATATTCAATTCAATAATCATCATTCAATATTCATTCATATTCAATATTCAACATTCGACAATATCCTTAAACTATTCTTAGTCTAAGGCCAATCACTTAATATTTGTCAACCCTTAAATGAATTCTAGTTTAAATAATTAAACTATATTCTAGTATACAGAGTACTCTTAATAATCCTTAAGCTAGGCCTAATTTAAGATAAAAGGGTTTTGGAAATCTTAAACTTACCTTCACTTAAGGCCAACAAAAAACCGACAACGTAGTGTTCACTGTTGGGTGGGTGGTACCCCCAAACGAGTAGGTACTCAAGTTTGGTTCTTGGATCCCGTACGTACGTTTTAACCCTAGCCACCGGGGTTCATACCCGCAAGGCCTAACTTAAATAGGTATATCTTAGAGGTCTTCTAGATACCTTTCAAATTGACATTAATATGGGTATATCTTAGAGGTCTTCTAGATACCCTTAACAATATATTATTTTCACAATCATCAATATATTCATTATGATTTAATCATTCAAAATTATCATTTTCAATCAGAATATTTATTAAGATTTAATCATCATAATTACCATAATCATCAATCAACATAATATTCAATAACAATTAGCGGCCTAGCTTCGGGTGTTAACACCTTAACTTACCGTCATGCATCACATAACATTTTATTTGTTAAAAATATTACTTTTAATGTGAAAAATCATTTTTATAATGATCATAATCAATTGGTATCAAAAATAGGATTTTAGAGCTCAAAAATAACATTTTCAAGCAAAGTTTCGGATCAGAAATTCGGGGGATCGATCGAGCCCTCTGGATCGATCCACACTAGAAGAAAAACTCCCAGAGGATCGATCCAGGCAAGATGATCGATCCAGACAGTGGTTTTTCAGCCACTGTTCATCTTCTTCAACCTTCGGTCCATTTTTCGGAAATTCCACTTTTAGTCACCGAACTTCAACGAAACTATATAGAGATGTTCTCTAAGGTTCATAGATCATTTTGGCAACATTAATTCATGGTTTTAACATCAATTTCATGGTTTATGATTCTTGGTTCTTCAAGCATGTGAAACACGAAACTCAACCAAACGAGCGTTTATGAACGTAGAAACGATCTATATGAACATTCTAGTCACTAGATATATCTACGGGCTTGCCTCGAAGGTAAATGAAGGTTTTGAAGATTTTCTGGAGAAACTTTCGGCGAGAATTGTAGCTATCTCTGGCGACCTCACACCAATGCGACAGCACCACTACGTTCTCCTCACTCCCAGCAACAGAATAGACAGAAAGTTTGTAAGAAATGGTGAGGAATTGAAGAAATGGAGATGACCCTTATATAGCCAAGTGAAGGAGGAAGGAGACACAGTGATTACCTCTCCTTCGACTGTTTTGGCGGCTGGGTGGAGCGGGCTGTTTTCTTCTCCGATTTTAAACGTAAGTCCCTGATTGGGACTAATTTGGTCCCAGTCGGGGAACACTTTTTGGTCCAACTTTCTCCGAATTAAACTCTATCGAACGATATAATTTTCATATTTATTTTTAATACTTTTTCTGACATTATATTTTTAGGTGGTTGACTTTGACAGAGTCAAAATTGATTTTGTTGACCTTTATTCAGAAAGGTTTTTACATTTCATTCATATTATTTTTTCTCATGATTTATTTCAATAAATCATTTCAAAGTTCATATCATAAACAAATTTCTTCATTTATCCTTGATTTGGGTTTGTACTCAAGTTCCCAAGTAAGGTCACACAATAAGTCAACATATTGGATTTATCTCTATGAGACTTATCCAGATTTTTATATTGAATATTAAAACATATTTCATTTCGGCCCAAAGCCTAATAACAATTATTATTATTATTATTAATAATAAAAAATTTGATTACTTGAATAATTATTCATTAATAATTCTAGGGTATATTTTGGGGCGTTACATTTCTCCCCCCTTAAAAGAAATTTCTCCCTCTAAATTCTTCTAAGGCCAAATATTCAACAATTCGTAGTGATCTTACTTAATCATGACCGTGTCATGTTCACTTGGTTATGTAATCCCAACTTTCGGTGTTATTAAACTCGTTCGTTATTCAAGAGGCTAACAATCTTAGATTAAGCAAGGTATTCAATGATCCTTTTTGCAGGTTCTCGTTCAGATTTAACACCAATAACCAAGTTCCATTGCAGGGTATAACATTGTATTTTGGAGCATATTTGACATATTTGCACCTCAATTCGTTCATTCACAAGTCTCGATTGTATGTCATTAATCAACAACATTCTTTCTTTGATTGAAAGTCCTTCAGTAGCATTTGTAGTTTCAAGTTCGTGATAGTTTTGGAGGTTGTTTAATTCATGTGTCATACTGTAATCTTCTAAATCATCAAAACATCTTCACATCGTTCACAGTTCAGCAACGACTTGTAAGTAATATCTAATGGCTTTTATTGGTTCAGGATTTTCAGAATATGGAATTTGTCATCATTTATGAGGAGGTACTGTCGATCGGTTGTATAGTAGTTTGTCATTTATCGACCTTATGCCGAAACATTTCTTCGTTCACTTCATGGTAGATCTCATTATCGTTAATGAGTCTTTGCATTAATTCGTATCCACAGGTGTTAACGTTAGAGTGGCGTTTCATATACGTCTTGTCGTATTCAACTTTCTTCATCGATTTTGGAATATATCCAGATACGTTCTTGATAATGACGGGTTTGATGTAACACTATGGTTGATTTCATTTCGAGTGAAGAAGGAAATATATTCGGTATGAGATTCAATTCACGAATTCATTAAGTGAGGAAACTTCTCTAGTTCTTACACCAACATCGCATATAGGTTCGGGATTTTTGCTTGAATGATTCAGCTTGTTCTTGTGACATCATTTCTTCTCTGGTTGTTGCACACACATTTCCTTGTTAGGGTAAAAAAAAAGAGTTTCTTGATCATCATCGATAATAATCTTCATAGATAACGCAATCGCATTAACTGTTTCGTAGCAGTTCCCTAAAGAGGTTTAACATAATGTTCAAGTCAGGGTAGTTTTATTATTGTGATCAAGTCACGTAGTTCACAGAGTATAGTTTTCAAAGATTGGTATCATGAAGCATCTTTGGTTTAATGAAGAATTGTGGTTTTAGTATTTTGACACAAAGAATGGAATTCAATCTTTTCAAAATTGATCAAGCGAGGTATTTCAAGGGTGTAGTTAACACAACAAGTTTGAGTCATTCAAGGATGTGAGTCACAAGATACAAAGATGGTATTTATGAATTATCGTCATCAATCGTAGGTCTTCAATCTTCAATGCTTCACTCTTTGGCAGTTACTCAAGGGTCATTTTCTTAGGGAAATAGTCATTTTGACTTTTTGTCTCGGATTTGAATGTATGAGCCTAACTATTCATGAGTCTCAATATGTCATGTCGTCAGCAGATTGTAGTATTGGCGAGTACATTCTTGTCTGGAGCGAATCCACTTTCCTGTAAGTTTTTTTTAGGCTGGTGATAATTACTTTTCCATCAATGGTCACACTACGCCAAAAACAGTATCAGACGACTGTTGAATAACTACTGTTTATGGAAACACAGTAGTTAAAAAAACAGACTACTGTGAGTTTTTCTTGGCTATAGAACAGTTGTCTAGCTACTATGCTTTAAAACTTTTTTTAAAGTTTCGAGAAATGGTAATCTATTACTAGTTGTCTGTGTCAGTTCAAAATACAGTTTTTGTTACAACAGTTGTCAATAACAAGTTAAGAATACTCTATCTAAACAGTACTCTGGTGTTTTAGTCTAAAACTGTTTTTAAACTTATTAGAAACAGTAATCTATTGCTAGTTGTCTATTTCATATGATTTTTTTGCCATCGTTGTTTCTAAAGGGAATAGAAGACTCTTTTGTAACAGTAGTCTATAAATTAAGGGTAGAACTATTTTTATAGTTCTGAGAAACGGTAATCTTTTATTAGTAGTCTGTTTCACCTAAAAATACAGTTTTTGTTGCCACAGTTGTCAATAATTAGTTAAGACTACTATTTCTAAGCAGTAGTCTAGTTTTTCAATTTATAACTGTTTTTAAACTTATAAAAAAATAGTATTTTATTGTTAGTTGTATGTTTCATATGGTTTTGTTTTGCATAGTTGTTTATTACAAGAATAGAAGACTTCCTTGTAACAGTAATATATTTATATAGCGTAGAACTATTTTTAAAATTTATAAAAACCGTAAGTATTACAAGTTGTTAATAATAAATTAAGAATACCTTTTTTAAACAGTAGTTAGATTATTAATCCTAGAACTATTTTCCAAGTTAAGAATATTCGTTTTAAACAGTAGTCTAATTCTTAAGCCTAAAACTATTTTAAAGGTTCAGAGTAACACTACTACAGAATTGGTAATACACAGCGGATAAATTTGGTATTTCACAATGCAAACCAACCGCTGTGTATGTGACCGGTGCAATTGGTATCATGTTTACACAACGGAAAATTATCCGCTGCGTAATTTTTTACATGGCGGATAATTATCTGCTGTGTAATGATTTACACAACGAATAAATATCCGCTACGTAAGATGCTTAATAACGGTAGAGTATACACATTAGATATTTATCCACAGTGTAAACGTACTTAAAAATGTTAGAGTTTACACAACACATGTTTATCCACTCTGTAAAGTCAGCTTCTTTTTAATATTATTTTAAAATATCCATTTTAATAGTACTAGCACACATATTGTATTGTAAATAAACCCTTAAAAAACACAGCACAAGAAACATCCAAAAAGTTAATACTTTCATCTTTGTTTTCTTTTTTTTAAATCGAACGCCAATTAGGCTACAAGAGAAAAAAGAAGGAATGAACAACATCAATATGCTCGTACAAAAGACAGGCAACATTTGTAACCAAAAAAAAAAAGAAACACCAATAAATTAGAATGTTTCAAGAGCACTATAATTAAAATTTTCTGGCTCTAGTCTCTTATCACGTTCTAAGAGCAATAGATGTCGCAGCGAAACAGCAACTATCAAATAAGCATTAGCCAACTTCACTTGGAGTTGCAATTGTAGATTGATCATCAACCTGCAACATTTACTAAATAGGTAATAAAGCAGCCTTATTGAAGAATATTGGAATCAAAATGTAAATCAGTAGACACCTTATTTGAAGAGGATTTGTTCTATAAGATCGTACTTTTAAATCCTTAACTCTAAGGAGAAAGGAAAGTGTAAATTAGTAGCTAGAAGCCTCTCCAGAATAATCCATACCAAAAAAGAATTGTTCTCCAGCAATTAGTAGCTAAAGAGCTCGGCATCAGTAACATAAACCTGGCCTATAAGGTAGCAATGGAAAATGGCCATCATCAAATTGTCTCGGCTCTACCATTTCTGACACCATTTAATTTATATAAGGCATTTGACACCAAATTCGACACCACATGTTTCATTTATATGCACATAGAGGAAATATTAGAACGATTTGGATTCTTGAGTAAATCTGAATATTAATCAAGAGTTTAGCATTTGATAGGTTATAAACTTCCCGGTCTTGATCTACAAGGAAAATGAAAAGAATTACCATGAAATAAGATGTGTTTATTATTTGATTGATATTAAAGTTTTGAGTTACAAGTAAAAAGTTAGGATAGATGTAAACTATACAAATGCTAAATATAAGACTAAAGCATCATTCTGTTCAACTTATTTCGGAACGCAAAGTGTAACTGTAAAAGGGACAAAGGAGCAAGTAGGAAAAAAACAGGCAGACAAAGGATCAACATTTGCGCATTGCATTTCAAATAAATTGATCTCTTATGATAAACAACATATTCATGATGTATTATTAAATCAACCAGCCTATATAGGAAAACACAAATCTTGACATTCTTGTTGTATCTCTGTTAAAACCAATCAAGAGATGATGAAAGAAACAGTGTACTTAGGATGATTTGCTTTCAAAGAAGAAGGGATTTTGCCTCTAAACAAAAAACATTAAAAAAAACACACTCTGCCTATGTAAGAAAACACCTGAAAACTTAGGAGCCAATACCAACGTTGCTACGTGAGATCAGACCTGGATTCACCTGTCTTGTCTGCGGCCATAGAAGTTGGTTCATACACCCCAGGATTAGGGGAGCTCAAGCACCTGTAGAGAAACACTCCTGAAAAGTCACCCAAGATTTACACCAGAAAGTGGAATAAATCCTCAAACAGTCCCCATTTGATTAGTATTGCCCTCAAACAGCCAAGCAAACACCAGCCCAAACAATAAAGGCTAGACCAATAGCAAAATCGCACAGGTACACACGTTGTGAACAGTAACTCGAGCAACCAAATCAAAGAGACCAAAATCAAGTTGTTTGACTTAGGATTCCAACACCAGACGCTGAATGGCCCTTGAATCACGAACAGAATACAAGAAAATGGGATGGAAAACAAGCAAAAAGCATGGGTAAACCTGGACTTGAAGAACTCGCTGTGAACAGTGACTCCGAGTCCAAAATTTTTGCTCAATTCGCAGCTTCCTTCAACTGGTTTGGAAAACCAATTTCAGGTGTTGAAAGAGCATCCCAAGTCGCCCATAATCACCCGAAAATTGGCCTTCAAACGAGCTTGAACCGAGGTGAATTGAACCGAGTCACAGATGAACAGTAACTGGGCAGTCGGCGCTGGGCAGTGGGGCTGACGGCAAAGGCTCTCGGCGAATTGGCGATGGCTGGGACTGACAGCTAAGGCTCTAGGCAAATTGGCGAATCCTTTGCTCTAGAACAACACAACACACACGAGATGGCGATTAAGGTGGGATAAGGTTGGGCTATTGAGTGACTGGTGTTCTTTGAACCGAAATAAGAAATTAGGAGGAGGGAGAATGACATTGGGAAGATGGAAAATAAATTTGGTGATAATTGGGAAGGGGGAGAATGAAATTGGAAGAGGGAAAATGAATTTGGTGATAATTGGGAGAGTAATGCTAGAGTCACAAACAAACAGTTCACAAAATTCACAAACTTGCCTTTTTAACACTTTCCTAGAAATAAGATGCACTCAAATAATAAAAGATATTTTAATTTAAAATCCACAAAAGGCAAGTTTGTGAAGTTTGTGAACTATATGTTTGTGACTCTAGCATTTTCTTAATTGGGAAGAGAGAGAATGAAATTGGGAAGAGGGAAAATAAATTTGGTGATAATTGGGAAGAGAGAGAATGAAATTGGGAAGAGGGAAAACGTATGTGTTTTTTCTTTACCAATTTGCAAAAGATATGATTTTAAAAACCACGGGGTTTTACAGATTAATCAATGATGGTGTAAATTACTTGACCGGTCAAACTATACTAGACCGGGTCTAGAATAGTTTGCTCGATTTGGCAAAGTAAGAAAGGTAAAAACACGCAAATTGACCGGTAGGACTTTAGGTGGAACACCTGTAGCCCGATTTATATTATAACGGAGAATGCACGGGTGCTTTTACAAGGTAGTTTAGAGAGAATGAATTCGGATCCCTCTTTCTGAGGTTTACATGAGTATTTATACTAGGCTAAGAGGACAGGGCCACGTGCGCCCACGTGGGGGCATGCTACTGATGTGGTGCGAGGTGACTGGTTTCGTCCTCGAGCTGCCTTGTCGCCTTGTGAGGGGGATCATTCCCTTTGTCGAGTAGTGCCTTGGATGGATTCTTCAGCATCTCCAGTTGTCCTCTACTGACACGGGTCGCTACACGCCAAGCCCTCGCAGATCCTCTTCTGCCGACACTTTCCAACCCCAGAAACTACACCGGGTAATCTCCGAGGGGTGAATTGATCGAAGTCTGGAATAAATAGGATGATAACGTAGTTTGACCGGTATACTCTTTTGTGAAGTGTACCGGTCATATTTTGGCCGATGATATATCGTTTTGCTGACGATTTAAGCCTCCCTTCCAAAACTTTCGAGATTGACCGGTCAAAGATTTGGCCTTCTCCTTTGACCGGTCTTGGGTGAAATACACCCATCAATAAGCCCTCCACTTCTCGGTCATGCAATTTGTCATGACCGATCGAACTACTTGTACTTAACGATTTCAGCTTCTCTTGCAGATATGGAGTTTGAGGAGTTCGCCATCCCTGACGACCAACCAGCCGGGGAGACCGGGGGCTCCCAAGCCAATCCTGCCAGGACTTTCCCGGTCAATCCAGAGACCGTGGAAATCCTGGATGAAGACGAGCCCCAAGACAACCGGTCTAAGGGGAAGGAGAAGGAAAAGGCCGGTCGCCGGGTGAAGAAGGTGGCCACCACGCACCCTTCCTATGCCAAGAAGAGGGCAAGGTCAGATCCTGAGCCGGCCGGCCAGACCATCGAGGAGGCCTTCATCAATCTTGGGCTGAGGCTGAAGGAGGTAAGTCTTGATGCCATCCCGGTCTTTATTTGTTTTTTTTATCGAGAAACTTACCGGTCTGTTTCGTTTTGTGCAGGCGGGGGAGATTGGGCCGCATACAGTGGACCGGTTGGGGATGAGTTCCCCTTCCGAAGTCGACCGGCTGAAGAGGGAGAAAGAAGAGATGGCACTCATCCTGAGGAGCCAGGCTGATGAGCTCATCCGACTGTCTGGGCTGGCCGGGGCAATGAAGACCGA